AAAAAAAAAAAAAAAAAAATCCTATTAGGACTCAATCGCCTAACCCTAATACCCTAATAATTCAATTCAGTTAAAAAAGAATATGGCGGCATCGGAAGGCAGGGAGATGTTAATGATTTACGCTACTTTTCACCTCATCCTGACGTTGAGTATCATTTACCACTGTATTAAAATAGTGTGGTGCGGAGAGAGACAACAATTTGAGCCTGCAGCTGACGTTGATATTGACACTGGCGGCATCACGGCGCCACTTCTAACTCCGCAGCCAATGGTGGCCGGTGACCAAACTCATCGCCAATCCAGGTCTTCACAGCCAGAGCCAGTGAAGAAAATATCGGTGCACCACATGAGGACCAGGTTGTAATTAATATATATATATATATATATATATATATATATATATATATTCCTTTCTAGTGTTTAAATATTACCAAAAGTTTGTATGTATGTATGTATGTATGTATGTATGTATGTATGTATATCTCTCTCTCAATAAAACTGCGAGTGTTATTAGAGATGAAATTGATCTTTATTGATTTTGTTTCTAATTTCGACCCGCGCGCTCAATGATTTTTGTTTAAATATTTTGTTTTTGTTTATTGAATTCTTTATTTATATGCTAATCAATGATTTTTTTTTCAATTACAAATAATACTATCATCGCATTGCGTTCCCATGTCAATAGCTCGGATAAAAAAATAAATAATAATGATAATAGCCCTAGTAACAATAACAAAGAATCTGTTATTTCTGTGTGCAGATTTGTTAGGTCTTGTAGAAATACAAACACCCATTATTCACAAAGATAATTCCAGGCCGATCTAGTTTATGTTTTCTACTTCGCTATGCTATTTTATTGTTGACCAGACCAATGTTATTTCACAATTATACGATACTTTGTCATTGTAAATTGGGCATGATAGATGGGTGAAACTAGAAAATTAGTTGAGAGAGGACAAAAGACATAACATAATGCATGGTTTCAAAATCGAACCCTACGATAACATTTTGGTAACTGAATTTCGGTTACCATTACACATAAGTCGGTTAAGTTCGGTTTATTTTATCATTGGTTCGGTTCGGTTTTCATTAACAAAAATATCAGCCCTAGCTTGGACAATAGAAAGTTGAAGACTTTTATATGAGCCAATTAAAATTGTAGAATGATAATAATTAATATACAAAATTAATAATGAAATAAAAGAAGTATTGAATTGTTAATTTAATAGTAAAATAAAAAAAAAAAGTGCTCAATTGTTAAATGATAATATTTGACAAGTTGGCCTTATGAGTAACGTTTAAAAACAAAAAATTTGGGGGTGCAAAAATAAATTTAAAAGAGGACAAATTAAAATTTTAATGTTAATAGTAAAAAAAATTAAATTTGCCCGCTACTAATACATGTAGCTTCGCCCATGGCATGATATATATTACAGAATTACAAGTTTGTAAATCGGGCATGATATATATTACAGAATTACAAGTTAGAATTCATGGAATTGAATTGAGCAGGGAACTCAAAAAAACAAATGTGAGGCAGTGAACTCAAAACAAAATGGAACAAAATATACAACTAGTTGGAGAAATTTAATTTATTTATTAGGTTTATTTATGTATTATTTGCTGAGGAAGTGAGGATTGAGTTAAATTTTATTCAGATTAATTTGTTTCCTTATCCAGGAAATTAAGAACATGCATGTAAATATTATATCAAAATAAAAGAATAATTAACTTATTTATTAAGTTTATTTGTGTATTAGTTATTAACACAATATATTAATAATTAAATCTTAGGCAAATGGCAATCCACATTACAATAATATAACACCAATTGCTGAAACAATAACCATGTTACAATTGATACAGTTGAGATAATAATATGAAAGCTGGTAAAACATAGAAAACTTTTATAATCTACCAAAAGATGAGAATAATAGTATTCTCTACATAATAATGCTATAGAGCCAATGGTTGGCTGCTTTATGGAGCCAACACCCAATTAAATTACTTCATGTGGGGATGTCCCACATGGGCTCTATCTGGGACATCCCTAAATGGAGCAATTTAATTGAGTGTTGCACATCTAATTTACTACTCAAATTGTTCCATTAATAGTTTATATTATTGTGTCAATAAAAATATATTATCTCCAACATATTGCAAAGTGTCATCGTGATTGACGGTAAAAGTAACATTATAAAAGGCAAAATTGCGTTCTGTGCTAACTAACAGTGTCAAACGGGCCGGATCGTTTCGGCCCGCTCCGGCCCGTGCTGGCCCTCGGTTTAAACGCGTGGGCCAAAATAGCCCGCATTTCTAAAGGCTGAAAAATCCATGGCCCGTGGCCCCACCTCATTAGCCTGCGGGCCAAATCGACCCGCCCGTAGATTTTTTGGTATTATGCACTTTTATATACTTTTTGGTTTGTTCATCCTTATATACTAGTATATTAATAAACCAGTAAGGCTTCATGTGTAATGATGTTAAATATTTGTCATCTAGTTTTTATTTTTATTTTCTTATAAATAAATATAGGGTATTCACGCGGATGAGAGACTTAATTTACATAAATATTATTTGATCCATTAATATTTTTATTATGTTAAAAAGTGTTTCATGTGCATTCACAAATCTTAATATCATTGTCAAATTTTAAAAAATATAAAATAAATAAGTATGGAAGAAGAAGAAGAAGAAAAAAAAGACGATAAAGACAAAAAAAATCCAACAAAATAAATAAGTTCATCAATAGTAATTACTAATTAACAAACATTCAAATTCCCATAGCAGATCATATTCAAAGTAAAATTCAAACAATCAAAGTCCGACAACAAAATAACTAGTACCAAAATAATATAAAATTAACAAATAAATAAATAATAACATAAGAAATACTAAATTTAAATAATATAAAATTAACAAATAAATAATTAATAAAAAAATGGCTGGACCGCGGGTCTGCCCGCCAGCTCGCTTTAGACCGCGGGCCGAACGGGGTGGGCCAAATAGGCCCCCGATTGAACGGGCTGACCAAGCAAAGGCCCAAGCCGGCATTTAGGCGGACGGACGGGTCAACGCGCGGGACATGACCCGTTTCGACAGTGCTACCTGTAACTATGTGTGTGTGATAAATGTGGACAACTTTTTGGTTTGGCAAAAGTGTTCCAAAACTTGTTAAAACCTGGAATTCGTGCCCAATTTACTTACAAATTATCGAATTTCACCGGTTTTTCGTGTGACAAAACAGGACATTCGGGTTTTAACAAGTTTCTAGGCACTTTTGCCAAAACGAAAAAGAAGTTGTCAATATTTGTAACACGCCCCTAGTTACCAGACACAAAATGCAATTTTGCCTATTACAAAAATTAGATATTCATTGACCACCACCTTGTCTTATTAATTTTTTCCAAGTGTAATAAAAATGTTAATTGGTTTTACAATATTCATTATTTAATAGAATAATATGGAATTAAAAATGTATAATATTGTCATTATTATTACTATTATTATTATTATCTATATCTATATCTATATCTATATAAAGAGACAACATATTTACCAAAAATAGTAACAAAAAAAGTCAACTAGCATTTATTGCATTCTATTTTTTGCAGTTTTTATTTTATTTAATTATTCCTAAAAATCAATCAGCTATATATGTACCCTAAATTCATGGGTTTTGTGAATTTAATTTAGGTAAATTTTGACTTATGCTTACAATTTTACAAAAGTCAAAATTCTTTGTTATTTTTTTATTAAAAACTTATTACCATAAAATTGAGAATTTCGAACTAGGCAAATATGTCATCACATATATCTTTTACTAATGCAACAGATTAATTTTTTATTTAAAAAATTAGATTCATAGAAATCGGGTTAAATTATATAAAATTCGGCATGACAATTTTGTAAAAAGTGAAGATTCCCATATTTTTTTATTAAACAAAAATATGTTTACCATAAAATCAGAAATTTTGAATTAGACAAAATATTATAACATGTATGTTTACCTAATTGCAACATATAATGTTCATTAAAAAATTCAGATTGCATAGGAAGCAGACACAGTTTCAAATTATATAATATTTGTTTACCGATAGAAAGTGGGCCCAACATATATCTTTTACATTCTTTCAATTATCCAATCATCAAAATCTAAATATTTACCTTAATAAAACTAGCTCGTGCGTTGCACAGGTAGCGCACTAGTATATATATATATATATATTAAAAGCCAACTTATTTACCAAAAATAATAGCAAGAAAAGTCAACACACATTTAATGCATACTTTATTTGAAATTTTTTTATTATATGCATTAAATGCTTGCATATATACATTTACTATCCAGATATGATCTTAAAAATGTTTTTCTTAAATAATTTTATTAATTTATGCAACGATTTTACTGATATCCATTATAATTAATATTTGTCGAGTACTATTTTTTAACTTTTATTTAATTATATAAAACTAAATTTATTTTACAAAAGTAATATTATTTATCATTTAAAAGACAATGATCACATCATTAAATGATTTTATTGATGGCTAGATAATAAAATTATATTAATTATTTTTTAAAATTTCAACATGTTATTTATTTGTATATTATTGTCCACTATGATAGTGTTTTTATCACTTTTTTTTTGTTATGTTTCAAAAATGAACTTATTGTAAAATATTTTTCTATTGCATAGTATGTTAAATATACTATATGTTAAATTATTTTTTCTATTGCATAGTATGTTTCAAAAATGAACTTATTGTTAAATATTTTTTAAAATGAACTCTTTTTTTTTTTT